TTCCAGTGACCTTGAACTTCTCCAAATGACCTTGGGTCAAGGTCATGACACACCCTTAGGTCATGGGCAATCTTTGTGTGAAATGAGAACCTACCAAGTTTATCCATAAGAAAGATATGGACCGGACACAAATTATGAAATTTTACTTCCAGTGACCTTGACCAAATGACCTTGGGTCAAGGTCATGACACATCCTTAGGTCATGGTTAATCTTTGTGTGAAATGAGAACCTACCAAGTTTATCCATAAGAAAGATATGGACTGGACACAAATTATGAAATTTCTCTTCCAGTGACCTTGAAGTTTCCCAAATGACCTTGGGACAAGGTCATGACACATCCTTAGGTCATGGGCAATCTTTGTGTGAAATGAGAACCTACCAAGTTTATCCATAAGAAAGATATGGACCAGACACAAATTATGAATTTTTCTTCGTGACCTTGAAGTTCCCCAAATGACCTTGGGTCAAGGTCATGACACATTCTTAGATCATGGGCAATCTTTGTGTGGAGTAGTAGATTCTAATGTCCTTCCTTAAGAAAGATATGGACCGGACACATTTGCACAGACAGACGGAGAAGGTGATTCCTATATACCCCCCAAACTTCGTTTGCGGGGGTGTGGGGGGGGGGTGTGGTATAATTATCTCCCCTTGGAAAAGGGCGTGGTTCTTCACTGAAAAACTTGAAATGAGGACCTACCAAGTTTATTCATATGAAAGATGCGGACCGGACACGAATTACGAAATTTTACTTTCAGTGACCTTGAACTTCCCCAAATGACCTTGGATCAAAGTCATGACACACCCTTAGGTCATGGGCAATCTTTGTGTGAAATGAGAACCTACCAAGTTTATCCATAAGAAAGATATAGACCGGACACAAATTATGAAATTTTTTCGTGACCTTGAAGTTCCCTTAATGACCTTGGGTCAAGGTTATGACACACCCTTAGGTCATGGGCAATCTTTGTGTGAAATGAGAACCTACCAAGTTTATCCATAAGAAAGATATGGACTGGACACGAATTATGATATTTTTCTTCTGGTGACCTTGAACTTCCCCAAATGACCTTGGGTCAAGGTCATGACACATCCTTGGGTCATGGGCAATCTTTGTGTGAAATGAGTACCTACCAAGTTTATCCATAAGAAAGATATGGACCGGACACAAATTATGAAATTTTTTCTAGTGACCTTGAAGTTGCCCAAATGACCTTGGGTCAAGGTCACGACACACCCTTGGGTCATGGGCAATCTTTGTGTGAAATGAGAACCTACCAAGTTTATCCATAAGAAAGATATGGACTGGACACAAATTATGAAATTTCTCTTCCAGTGACCTTGAAGTTTCCCAAATGACCTTGGGTCAAGGTCATGACACATCCTTAGGTCATGGGCAATCTTTGTGTGAAATGAGAACCTACCAAGTTTATCCATAAGAAAGATATGGACCGGACACAAATTGTGAATTTTTTTCCCAGTGACCTTGAAGTTCCCTAAATGACCTTGGGTCAAGGTCATGACACATTCTTAGATCATGGGCAATCTTTGTGTGGAGTAGTAGATTCTAATGTCCTTCCTTTAGAAAGATATGGACCAGACACGTTTGCACAGACAGACGGACGGACGGACAAACAGACGGAAAAGGTGATTCCTATATACCTCCCCCCAAACTTCGTTTGTGGGGGGTATAATTATCTCCCCTTAGAAAAGGGCGTAGTTCTTCATTGAAAAACTTGAATATATTTTACCCAAGGATACTTTGTAGCAAGTTGAAAATGGTCCAGTGGTTCTGGAGGAGAAGATGAAAATGTGAAAAATTTACAATGACTATGACGCCGAAGGCAGACAATTTTGATCAGAAAAGCTCACTTGAGCCTTTGGATCAGGTGAGCTAAAAACCGCAGAAAACGATAGGTCACCAGTCTTTTGAGTGACCAAAAAATTTAAACAAAATGCAGAATACAAAGCATAAATGCAAGATTTATTAAATTCAAATTAACAACATACAATTAACTGAAACAAACACACATTAAATTACCGGTAAGCTTTAAAAGTAAAAGATAGACATTCTTCACCATTTTTACAATGTCTCAGTTTGAAAATATCGTTTCCCTATACAAACCCTTTCCGAAACGATTTCACAAAATTTTGAGACTTCGAAGAAGATATTTGACAAAACTGAGATTTCAATTACAAATAGGCAGGCAATAATGAACAAAACAGAGACATGTCCATCTACCTCTTTATATGATAAAACGTGTTCCGTAGGCTAAAATGCTCATCCAAGTCTATGCTGTTCACACAAATTGTATCATTTTCTAAATTTTAGTACCATTGTTTAATTTATTGATTTAATTTGGAAACAGGGCAAACAATACAGCCCATCAAACCCTCGTCAAATTGATCACAACATTGGACAGTTATGCTTAAATACATACATCAACAAGAGGCCCACGGGCCTTATAGGTCACCTGAGCATTATGCAACAACTTTCCAGTTACAGTGTATTGAATTTGATTCATGTTTTAAGCCAGATGCTATATGGCATTCCCAATTTTGAAAGGGCACCATTGATCATCATAACAATAAACTTAGCAGTTGCTTAGCTTGGTTACTGAATACCCATACGCAGGGTAGGGGAACAAAAATGCACTCCAACTAATCAGTAATATTCATCAATAATCAGTAGTGCCCCTAACACTCTGACATAAACCCCTGACCCTAGGTTGCACAAATTTTTAAAAGGCACCCTTAAAATTGCCTATCAAAAAGTAAATAAATGTTTTCTAAATACAATTAAGGACCAGATTTCAAACAATTAATTCATTTTCAGTATATAGTAGAGCCCCCCCCCCCCCCCACTGGGGCCTTGAAATTCATAATTCTGCAAGATTAGGGTCCTTGCTCATCATAACTATATAGGTAGTTCATCTGCTTCATACCCAGAGACAGAGAAGAAAATTTTCAAAGATTTAATGTATTTTCACTATATAATCAATAGAGCCCCACCCTAACACCAGAACCCCAGACCCTGGGGCAATGAAATTCATAATTTTAGAAGAGGCATTCTTGCTCATCATAACTATGCACTTACTTAGTTTATTTAATACCTAGGAGCTGAGAAGATTTTCAAAGAATTCATGTATTTTCACTTTATAATCAAAAGAGCCCTGCCCTAACACCAGAACCCCTGACCCTGGGGCCATAAAATTCATAAATTTGGTAGAGGCACTCTTGCTCATCATAACTATGCACTTAGTTTATTTAATACCTAGGAGCAGAGAAGAAGATTTTCAAAGAATTCATGTATTTTCACTATATAATCAATAGCGCCCCCCCCCCCCCCCCCCAACACCAGAACCCTTGTACCTGGGGCCATAAAATTCTCAATTTTGGTTGAGGCACTCTAGCTCATCATCACTATGCACTTAGTTAAGGTATTTAATACCTAGGAGCAGAGAAGGAGATTTTCAAAGAATTCATTTAATTTCACTATATAATCAATAGAGCCCCCCCCCCCCAACACCAGAACCCTTGATGATAGGGCCATTATTAATTCACAATTTTGGTTGAGGCACACTTGCTCATCATAACTATGCACTTAGTTAGTTTATATAATACCTAAGAGCAGAGAAGAAGATTTTCAAGGAATTCACATATTTTCACTATAATCAATAGAGCCCCCCCCTCCCCCAACACCAGAACCCTTGACCCTGGGGCCATAAAATTCACAATCTGGGTTGAGGAACACTTGCTTATCATAACTATGTACTTAGTTAGTTTATTTAATACCTAGGAGCAGAGAAGAAGATTTTCAAAGAATTCATGTATTTTCACTTTATAAACAATAAAGTCCCCCCCCCCAGAACAATTGATGCTGGGGCCATAAAATTCACAATTTTTGTAGAGGCACTCTTGCTCATCATAACTATGCACTTACTTAGTTTATTTAATACCTAGAAGCAGAGAAGAAGATTTTCAAAGAATTCATGTAATTTCACTAAATAATCAATAGAGCCCCCCCCCCCCCCCCCAACACCTGAACCCTTGACCCTGGGGCCATAAAATTCAAAATTTTGGTAGAGGCACTCTTGCTCATCATAACTATTTACTTACTTGGTTTATTTAATACCCAGGGGCAGAGAAGAAGATTTTCAAAGAAATCATGTATTTTTACTATATAATCAATAGAGCCCCACCCTAACACCAGAACCCCTGACCCTGGGGCCATAAAATTCACAAAATTGGTAGAGGCACTCTTGCTCATCATAACTGTGTACTTAGTTGGTTTATTTAATACCCAGGAGCAGAGAAGAAGATTTTCAAAGAAATAATGCATTTTCACTATATACTTATTTAGCCCCGCCCTAGCACTAGAACCCCTGACCCCAGGGCCATGAATTTCACAATTTTGGTAGAGGACTCAATGCTGATTACAATCATGCAAATATTTTGACTGCTTGATGTCCAGGAGTAAAGAAGAAGATTTTTAAAGATTGCATTAATTTTAGTGGTTTTGGCCCCACCCCTCAGGCCCCAGGGGGGCAGGGATCATGAAATTCACAATTTTTGTTCCCCTTCACCCATAGATGCTTTGTGCCAAATTTGGTTGAAATTGGTTCAGTGGTTGCAGAGAAGAAGCTGAAAATGTTCAAATGTTAACACACGACACACGACACACAACACACGACACACGACGGACGACGGACGACGACGGACGAAAACGGATAGCAATAGGTCACCTGAGTTTACTCAGGTGACCTAAAAACTATAAGGAATAGGAAAATATCATTAAGAGGGTGACTTGATTTTCTTTCTGGCACTCAAGTGTTTTTGATAACTGACATCACAAAAGGAGGATTACCGGTACCACGTTCTTTCAGCCAATGAAAATTACGAAAATAATCTTCTTATATAATATCATACACTTATCCAATGGTTGTGAGTGGGATAGCTTTTTTATCAAACCCGCGACAGGGAACTATTCCCGGCTAGAGCTTGCCCGAGGGGAATAGTTCCTGTCAAGGGTTTGATGAAAGAGCTATCCCACTCACAACCAGTGGATAAATGTTTTATTATACTGATGTATAATATAATTTTTTAGGTTTGAATTTTTTTTAGTAAGATAAAACTACAAGAATAATCCGACATCATGATGACGTCACAATGCTACTGAAGTCATTATGAGTCATCAGTCAATAGATTTATCGCTGGAAATCAAAATTGGTGGCAAATATTGCATGAAAATTTTCCGAGGGCAGATAGCAAAAACTATACAACGGGGTATAGCTTTGCTATGCTTGGACTATCTGAGATAGCTATTTTACCTTCTTAACTTTATATAGGAAACATTTTGACAGAAGTATAATAAATTTGTTTATCATATACTTAGTAGTAAATACACCGATTCTGCACTGTGTGATACGGGTGTTAAAATTTGTAAATTCAGTATGTGCAACCTCTGCAAAGAAAATTAATGGAAACTAAATGGACTGACAGACAGAAAAGCCTGTTAGTTTCATTCAAGAATTACACATATTTAAATTTGCTTTCCTTTATCCTTAGATGACAACAATAATAACCATGAGGCTGATGGATCTTGAGTTCTAAGGGAAAATACAACCTAAATTGACACTCAGGTTTTTCATGACATGCAGTTGGTAAAATGATCAGACTTTCTGTTGTATGAAAAGAAAACTGTAAGGGCCATTTAGAAAGTTACGTTGTGATGTCATTTACATGGCTGAATTTAGCCTAAATACATTGTTTTATTTCACTGTATCAAAAACATGTATTTAATCAAGATATGATAAATGAATTAAACTGAATTTCTAATGGCACGTGCCATTAGAAATTCAGTTTTATTCTGTACAGAATAAAAATACTCAACATTTCTCTGAGTAAATGCTATTGTAGTCGTGAACATTTACGAGTAAACCATCAGGATGAGCATGTTAACCTTACAAGTTTCTCCTGAATTTTACATTAAATATTTCATTTTTTTTTCAGTTCTACAGATTCCATTTCTTCTTTTATATTACTTGAAGAATGTTGTGTCTTCCTCCCTAAACTGGTCACCATATATAAAATAAAGGGAAGGAAAAAAACTGCATGAAGTAATCCTATAATGATAACAAGAAACATTACTTTTCCAAAAGAGACAAACACATAGCTACTGGAAAAAGCTAGCATTGAGATTCCAATCAGAGAAGACAGGGCAGCATTAATTACAGGTCCTCCAACCTTATCAAGAGCACTTTTAATTATGTTCTTTTCTTGTCGGACAGACAAAAATGCATGAGAAACATGTACACTGAAATCCACTGAAAATCCAACACTCATAACAAGATGGATCATTGTGATCGAACTCAATGTAAGATCCCAGAAGTACATAAAACCAACCACACCAACAATTATGCTAATTAAATTTAGGGCTACAATGCTAACAATCAAAGGTTTTGGCATCAGCAAGGATGTTACAACCAACATTGCAATGATGGCTATACCCACTGTTTGTAAGGTACTTGGTAGTATCTGAACAAACTGTTCGTAAAAAATGAAAGCTGCATTGTAGAAAAAACAGGAGATTTTTGCTTCCTCTGATATTGCTCGTAGTTCAAGCATCAATGATCCTTGAGATTCACTAGTTTTCAAGTTATTGGATTTTAGATAAAATTTAGATGACAGAATTCTAGTTCCACTTGCATCAAAAAATATATCGTTTGAAAAAGTACTTGCATCTCTTATAAATGAATGCAGACCATTCACAAATTCTGCCTCTGATCTATTACTATATAAAAGAGATTTTTCATAATGTTTTAACCAGTTGATTTCAAACTTTTCATCTATACCTGATAATTTCTTAGCTTTGGCTAAAACATCTGTTATACTGTTCTGAGTAAACTTAAGAGAATATTTCTCTTCTTGTTTTATACACAGCATTACAACTGGTTCTACCGTGAAAAACTGATCCTCCCATTTGCTGTACTTATAAAAATAGGAATCCTCAGCAACCAAATTAAATAAATGCAAACCTTGCTTAAAATTTGTGGCCCCAAAAATAGACAGACTTAAATATATAACAAATAAAATACATACAGCACATTTTCCTGCACTATGAGATAACAATTTGATGGGTATTTGTTTTGGATATTTTTCCAAAAGACTCTCTACATCTTCTCTTTTCTTAGGGATGCTTCCAGAATAACAACAGTTTTTCTTATTGCCTTCTGTCTCATCCTGGTTTAACTTTAAACAACACAAATAATAATGTCTCTTTTCTTTTGTCCTGATCTCATTCAAGCAAATGGCAGAGGAAAAGAAAAATAACTGATTGAGATAGCAAAACAACACAGCAACACCTGAAAAAAAAAAGAAATTAGTTAACATCAATTAATCATGTTAATCATTATATTTGCTGGAAATGAAGATTTAATTGGTCATAAAATGATTTAAATCAAATTTTAACTATGTACATATACCCCCATTTGGGCTTTTCAGAGATTGATTGATTGATTGATTGATTGAATATTGTTTAATGCCGAGTTGACAATTTTTCAGCCATGCTTGATGGGGCTTTTCAGAAAAGTTGCCAAATCAGAAATATTTCATGGATCTAATAGGTGCTCACAATTTTCTTATAAACATGTAGAGTGCAAATAAAATTTCTCATATATATATATATATATATATATATATATATATATATATATATATATATATATATATATATATATATATATATATATATATATATATATATATATATATATATATATATATATATATATATATATATATATATATATATATATATATATATATATATATATATATATATATATATATATATATATATATATATATATATATATATATATATATATATATATATATATATATATATATATATATATATTAATGAATGAAATTAAAGTGCAACCTCAAATAAACCATCAATACTTTGTAATAACATTGCTTTTATTTCGTTGTAAAAAAAAAATTAATTGGAAATATCTCTCATCTTTGTGAGACATGAGACTCTACAACTTGATTGTTAAAAATCATATTAATGCAAATCAAATTAATCTTGATAACTTAATATCACACTCATTTTAAAAATAAAAGACTGGTCATCCAGTAACTAAATGATTTGATAGACAATAAATTACAATTAAAAGAAACAAGAGGCCCACGGGCCTTATAGGTCACCTGAGCATTCTGCAACAACTTTCCAGTTATTGAATTTGATTCATGTTTTAAGCCAGATGCTATATGGCATTCACAATTTTGAAAGAGGCACCATTGATCATCATAACAATACACTTAGCAGTTGCTTAGCTTGGTTTATTGATTTAAATATGCCCAATAATAAGTTCATAGGATCTTCATGAACGTTTCATGAACATTTCATGAATAAAATTCATGAAAAATTCAAGGTAATTCATGAATTATTCATGATCACCTCGCAGGGGTACTGAATACCCATACGCAAGGTAGGGGAAAAAAAATGCATTCCAACTAATCAGTAATATTCAGCAATAATCAGTAATGCCCCTAACACTGTGAAATAAACCCCTGACCCTAGGTCCACACATTGCACAAATTTTAAAAAGGCACCGTTAAAATTGCCTATCAAAAAATAAATAAATGTTTTATAAATACAAAGGAGCAGATTTCAAACAATTAATTCATTTTCAGTATATAAGTAGAGCCCCACATCCACCCCTGACCCTGGGGCCTTGAAATTCAAAATTTTGCAAGATTAGGGCCCTTGCTCATCATAACTATTTAGGTAGTTCATCTGCTTCATACCCAGAGACAGAGAAGAAAATTTTCAAAGATTTAATGTATATTCACTATATAATCAATAGAGCCCCCCCCCCCACCCCCACACACCATAACCCCTGACCCTGGGACCATAAAATTCACATTTTGGTAGAGGCACTCTTGCTCATCATAACTATGTACTTAGTTAGTTTATAAAATACCTAGGAGCAGAGAAGAAGATTTCAAAGAATTTATGTATTTTTACTATATAATCAATAGAGCCCCACCCTAACACCAGAACCCCTGACCCTGGGACCATAAAATTCATAATTTTGGTAAAAGCACTCTTGCTCATCTTAACTATGCACTTCGTTAGTTTATTTAATACCTAGGAGCAGAGAAGAAGATTTTCAAAGAATTCATGTATTTTTACAATATAATCTATAGAGCCCCCCCCCCCCCAACACCAGAAGCCTTGACCCAGGGACCATAAAATTATTCACAATTTTGGTAGAGGCACTCTTGCTCATCATAACTATGCACTTAGTTAGTTTATTTAATACCTAGGAGCATAGAAGGAGATTTTCAAAGAATTTGTGTATTTTCACTATATAATCAATAGAGCCCCCCCCCCTCCCCCTAACACCAGAACTCTTGGCCCTGGGGCCATAAAATTCACAATTTTGGTAGAGGCACTCATGCTCATCATAACTATGCACTTAGTTAGTTTATTTAATACCTAGGAGCATAGAAGGAGATTTTCAAAGAATTTGTGTATTTTCACTATATAATCAATAGAGCCCCCCCCCCCCTAACACCAGAACTCTTGGCCCTGGGGCCATAAAATTCACAATTTTGGTAGAGGCACTCATGCTCATCATAACTATGCACTTAGTTAATTTATTTATATCTAGGAGCAGAGAAGAAGATTTTCAAAGAATTTATGTATTTTTACTATATAATCTATAGAGCCCCCCCCCCCCCCCCTACCAGAACCCTTGACCCTGGGGCCATAAAATTCACAATTTTGATAGAGGCACTCATGCTCATCATAACTATGCACTTAGTTAATTTATTTAATATCTAGGAGCAGAGAAGAAGATTTTCAAAGAATTCATGTATTTTTACTATATAATCTATAAAGCCCCCCCTACCAAAACCCCTGACCCTGGGGCCATAAAATTCACAATTTTGATAAAGGCACTCTTGCTCATCATAACTATGCACTTAGTTAGTTTATTTAATACCCAGGGGCAGAGAAGAAGATTTTCAAAGAAATCATGTATTTTCAATGTATATAATCAAGAGAGCCCCGCCCTAACACCAGAACCCCTGACCCTGGGACCATAAAAAACACAATTTTGGTAGAAGCACTCTTGCTCATCATAACTAACTACTTAGTTGGTTTATTTAATACCCTGGAGCAGAGAAGAAGATTTTCAAAGAAATAATGCATTATCACTACCTACTTATTTAGCCCTGCCCTAGCACTAGAACCCCTGACCCCAGGGCCATGAATTTCACAATTTTGGTAGAGGACTCAATGCTGATTACAATCATGCAAACAGTTTGACTGCTTGATGTCCAGGAGTAAAGAAGAAGATTTTCAAAGATTGCATTAATTTTAGTGGTTTTGGCCCCACCCCTCAGGCCCCAGGGGGGCAGGGATCATGAAATTCACAATTTTTGTTCCCTTTCACCCATAGATGCTTTGTGCCAAATTTGGTTGAAATTGGTTCAGTGGTTGCAGAGAAGAAGCTGAAAATGTTCAAAAGTTTACGAACGACGTACGACGAACGACGACGGACGAAAACAGATAGCAATAGGTCACCTGAGTTTACTCAGGTGACCTAAAAATAGAGAACAGGGATCTTTAATTCTTTCCCCAAATTTCCATATGCCGGTAGATTAACACATGCTTAATCGTAGATGCCCTAACAGCTTCCAACACCAAACTCATGAAAATCAATCTTTTACTAGATGCATGTCCACTCATCAAATCAAAGGGACAAATGGATTTACAATATCTGCTGTGTAATGTAAAAGCTGTTTTTAATACTTGATGATGCTTTTTGTTTTTAAATGAGTAGTTTTTAGGCTGTAATTATAAAAGTTACATTTTGGTACAAATTGTCTGAAGTTTATGTCTAACCCTTAGAAATAAACTCAAAGTGACTAAGTCAATAATTTTTTTTAAATAAAGTGCCCCGCCACAGCATGATACGCCCATCAAATATTGTTCAATAATCATGAATTGGTTAGGATGAAAGAAAATCAGGTAGCCTTGATTAACAGATTGACACAAATTTCAATTATCTAATTTCCATTTCTTATCATACATCTCTCAGAGACTTTACAGTGTAGGGATTAATTATAACAAATAATACATCATATAATTCAGATTATCAAATAATGGAAATGCTACGGCCTAATGAAAAAATCAAACATAAATTATTCTTCAGGCTATAAAATTCTAAAAGAGACATGAATGCAATTTGTTGCAAATATATAAAAATTGAAATATAATTTTTTTTTCAATGAACACATGTATAATTAGTTTTTATCATATTGTACAATACTAATTTAGTTTTAATCATACACTAAAACATCAATTTGTTTTAATTAATTACACCAATTGAAAGATCTTTATCTGGACTAGCCATCAAGAACTTTTAATTAACACAAACAACTATGAGGCCATTTCTTTTTGTCCAACTCCCAAGAGATAAATTAAGATAACTGCTGCATCAGGTCTAGAGATGCTCTTAGCTCCTGACAATAAACTCATTAATTTCTCTCTAATTTGACATGCAAATTTCTGCTATCAAAATTCTTCTTGACCAGTGCTTGATAAATTATGCCCATGGGACAAACTGAATTCCTCTCAAAGCATAAACATTTGTTACAGATTGCTGTAAAGTATATAATGAAAAAAAAAGTTTTTACATAATTTAACATCTTTTAATAAGGATACAACTATATTTTTACATTTTTTAGGATTATGAAATTTAGAATTTAAAAGACTTAGTTTTTAAAAAAATTCACTTTAATCAAAATTCACAGTGACCATGAAATAGGCTGCAATGCACCTTCTACTTTAGATGTATACTTTTGCCAAATTTGAAAGCTCTGGGTCTAATATTTTTCTAGTTATGAGCCGGACAGGATTTTTCCATATTTGGCTATAGCATCTTTGTTGCAAAAATATAAAAATTGAAATATATTTTTTTTTCAATGAACACATATAATAAGTTTTAATCATATTATACAATACTAATTTAGTTTTATCATACACTAAAACATCAATTTGTTTTAATTACATTAAACCAATTGAAAGATCTTGGACTAGCCATCAAGAACTCTTAATTAACACAAGCAACTATGAGGCCATTTCTTTTTGCCCAACTCCCAAGAGATAAATTAAGATAACTGCTGCATCAGGTCTAGAGATGCTCTTAGCTCCTGACAATAAACTCATTAATTTCTCTCTAATTTGACATGCAAATTTCTGCTATCAAAATTCTTCTTAACCAGTGCTTGATAATTATGCCCATGGGACAAACTGAATTCCTCTCAAAGCATAAACATTTGTTACAGATTGCTGTAAAGTATACAATGAAAAAATAAGTTTTTACTTAATTTAACATCTTTTAATAAGGATACAACTATATTTTTACATTTTTTAGGATTATGAAATTTAGAATTTAAAAGACTTAGTTTTTAAAAAAAATCACTTTAATTAAAGGTCACAGTGACCTTGAAATAGGCCGCGACACACCTTCTACTTTAGATGTATACTTTTGCCAAGTTTGAAAACTCTAGGTCTAATATTTTTCTAGTTATGAGCCGGACAGGATTTTTCCATATTTGGCTATAGCATCTTTATTAAAGGTCAGAGCGACCTACTTTTTGTGCGCGACACACCGTCTACCCAAGAAGTATCAGTTGACAAAGTTTGATAATCCTAGGCCTAATAGTATTCAAGTTATGAGCCGGACAGGAATGGACAGACGGACAGACGGACGGACATGAAGCCTATAACATAATACGTCCCATCTTAAGACGGGCGTATAAAAAGTTACACACCTGTAAAATGCAGAAAACTTAACAAATAAAGTTGAAAATACCAAGTCACACCCTCATATGGTGAATAATAAGTGTACAACTTTTGACACTAAACCCTCCAATATCTTCTGAGAAATGTTCACGACAAAATCACAAAATAAAAAGAAAAAAAAAAACACCTGTAAAATGCATTTTAAAAAAATCATCCAATTATAAAGAATATATCAGGTGCACACCTTCATATGTTGAATAATAAGTGTTAAAAATTATGACAAATCCTTCCAAAAGTTTCCAAGAGATGGTCCAGACAAGATCTTGTCTACAGACAGACGACCATGGTGATTCCAATATAACCCCCTAAACTTGGTTGGGGAGGGTGTTATAATTACCTATATAAATGCAGAAATTTCTAATGCTTATGAAGACAGATGTTGCGCCAATTAAAAATGCCAGGAGGTCTGTTATGGATGTAATTGTGATAGTTATTCCACACTTTTTGAACATATATTTCATCCTCTCCTCTACTGAGACAGTTGTAAGAGGTGGTGCATCTGCCATTCCAGTCATCAATATAAACATATCGTCAATGCCTATTCCTTATAAAAGAAAGAGTATTATCTTCATGAACATACTTTACTTAAACTGACAGAGGCAATAAGTTCTGTACACATTTTCTCTCTCCAAAATTAAATCCCCACTTCAAATGGTTAGAAGCTCTTAAGGGGGGACCTATGTCCAAAAAGTCTTTGACGTGAAATTTTCAAAACTTTGACATTTCTTTCATGGCCACTTGCTCCTAATTTTCAGGTATTAAAAACAATACCTTTATATGCTTATTTTTACACAGGAGCATGTGCAAAAACAGTGTAAAATGTTAACAAGAGGCCCATGGGCCACATCGCTCACCTGAGTAACTTGGGTGATGCAGATCTTTTTAAAAGATTTGTTCTATATATATTTCTATGTAAAACTTGGATTCCCCATTTTGGCCCCGCCCTACGCCCGAGGGTCATGATTTTAACAATTTAATATCTACACTACTCAAGGATGCTTCCACATAAGTTTCAGCTTTCCTGGCCTAGTGGTTCTTGAAAAGAAGATTTTAAAAGATTTGTTCAATAAATCTCTATGTAAAACTTGGATTCCCTATTGTGGCCCCGCCCTACCCCCGGGGGTCATGATTTTAACAATTTAATATTTACACTACCAAAGGATGCTCCCACATAAGTTTCAGCTTTCCTGGCCAAGTGGTTCTTGAGAAGAAGATTTTTAAAGATTCATTCTATATATTTCTAGGTAAAACTTGGATTCCCTATTGTGGCCCCGCCCTACCCCCGGGGGTCATGATTTTAACAATTTAATATTTACACTACCAAAGGATGCTCCCACATAAGTTTCAGCTTTCCTGGCCAAGTGGTTCTTGAGAAGAAGATTTTCAAAGATTTGTTCTATATATTTCTATGTAAAACTTGGATTCCCTATTGTGGCCCCGCCCTAACCTCGGGGGTCATGATTTTAACAATTTAATATCTACACTACCCAAGGATGCTTCCACATAAGTTTCAGCTTTCCTGGCCCAGTGGTTCTTGAGAAGAAGATTTTTAAAGATTTGTTCTATATATTTCTATGTAAAACTTGGATTCCCTATTGTGGCCCCGCCCTACCCCCGGGGGGTCATGATTTTAACAATTTAATATCTACACTACCCAAGGATGCTTCCACTTAAGTTTCAGCTTTCCTGGCCAAGTGGTTCTTGAGAAGAAGATTTTTAAAAGATTTGTTCAATATATTTCTTTGTAAAATTTGGATTCCCTATTGTGGCCCCGCCCTACCCCCGGGGGTCATGATTTTAACAATTTAATATCTACACTACCCAAGGATGCTCCCACATAAGTTTCAGCTTTCCTGGCCCAGTGGTTCTTGAGAAGAAGATTTTTAAAGATTCATTCTATATATTTCTAGGTAAAACTTGGATTCCCTATTGTGGCCCCGCCCTACCCCCGGGGGTCATGATTTTTACAATTTAATATCTACACTACCCAAGGATGCTTCCACATAAGTTTCAGCTTTTCTGGTCCAGTGGTTCTTGAGAAGAAGATTTTTAAAGATTTGTTCTATATATTTCTATGTAAAACTTGGATTCCCTATTGTGACCCCGCCCTATCCCCGGGGGTCATGATTTTAACAATTTAATATCTACACTACCCCAGGATGCTTCCACATAAATTTCAGCTTTTCTGGTCCAGTGGTTCTTGAGAAGAAGATTTTTTAATGACCCCACCCTATTTTTGTATTTTCTTGATTATCTCCCCTTGGAAGGGGTCTTGATCCTTGATTTTAACAATTTAAATTCCCCTTTACCCAAGGATGCTTTGTACCAAGTTTGGTTAAAATTGGCCCAGTGGTTCTTGAGAAGAAGTTGAAAATGTGAAAAGTTTACAGACGGACGGACGGACGGACAGACAGACGGACGGACGGACGGACGGACGGACGACAGACACCGGGTGATCAGAAAAGCTCACTTGAGCTTTCAGCTCAGGTGAGCTAAAAATAGATTATTTTCAGACATTATTGTTCTACCCCAAATATGCGCTAAAAAGAATCAAAAAATGTCAAATCACATTCAAAATCAACAGGTATTTAAATCATTTGACTTCTATCTTTAAAATAAAGGCAAAATCATTGTAATTAATCTCGCTTGAAAAATTATAATGGAGCACAAAGTAAGTATTAACCCATTTTTCTCGTCATATTTTTTGCAATTCCGACATGCATAAAAGGTAATATCTTAAAAAGTCTTTGTGAGAAAATGTTGTGATTCATATTTTTTGAAAGAAATGAATTATCTCTTTATTTTAATAAATAAACAAGAGACCCAAGGGCCACATCGCTCACCTGAGAAGCTTTGACCATTCTGTTCTTTACCAGATTTCCCCCTTTTAATACATATTGAAACCTCACCCTACCCGACTGATCACAATTTAGACATTTTGCAATCTACACTACCCCAGGATGCTTCTATGTGCACAAAAGTTTAAGCTTTTATGGACCTGTGGTTCTTGAGAAGAAGATTTTCAAAGATTTTTCCTATATATTTCAATGTAAAACTTTGTTAACGCATTGTGGCCCCGCCCTACACCCAGGGGTCATGATTTGAAAAATTAAGAATCTACACTATCCCAGGATGCTTCCACATAAGTTTCAGCTTTTATGGACCAGTGGTTCTTCAGAAGATTTTCAAAGATTTTTCCAATATATTTCTATGTAAAACTTTGATTCCCCATTGTGGTCCCACCCTAAACCCCAGGGTCATGATTTAAAAAATTTAGAATCTACACTACCCCAGGATGCTTCCACAAAAGTTTCAGCTTTTATGGACCAGTGGTTCTTGAGAAGAAGATTTTCAAAGATTTTTCATATATATTTCTATGTAAAACTTTGATTCCCCATTGTGGCCCCGCCCTACCCCCGGGGGTCATAATTTAAACAATTTAGAATCTACACTACCCCAGGATGCTTCCACATTAGTTTCAGCTTTTATGGACCAGTGGTTCTTCAGAAGAAGATTTTCAAAGGTTTTTCATATATATTTCTATGTAAAACTTTGATTCCCCATTGTGGCCCCACCCTAAACCCCAGGGTCATGATTTGAACAATTTAGAATCTACACTATCCCAGGATGCTTCCACATAAGTTTCACCTTTCCTGGCCCAGAAGGTCTTGAGAAGGTTTTTAAAGATTTGTTCTATATATTTCTATGTAAAACTTGGATTTCCTATTGTGACCCCGCCCTATCCCCGGGGGTCATGATTTTAACAATTTAATATCTACACTACCCCAGGATGCTTCCACATAAATTTCAGCTTTTCTGGTCCAGTGGTTCTTGAGAAGAAGATTTTTTAATGACCCCACCCTATTTTTGTATTTTCTTGATTATCTCCCCTTGGAAGGGGTCTTGGCCCTTGATTTTAACAATTTAAATTCCCCTTTACCCAAGGATGCTTTGTACCAAGTTTGGTTAAAATTGGCCCAGTGGTTCTTGAGAAGAAGTTGAAAATGTGAAAAGTTTACAGACGGACGGACGGACGGACGGACAGACAGACGGACGGACGGACGGACGGACGGACGACGGACACCGGGTGATCAGAAAAGCTCACTTGAGCTTTCAGCTCAGGTGAGCTAAAAATAGATTATTTTCAGACATTATTGTTCTACCCCAAATATGCGCTAAAAAGAATCAAAAAATGTCAAATCACATTCAAAATCAACAGGTATTTAAATCATTTGACTTCTATCTTTAAAATAAAGGCAAAATCATTGTAATTAATCTCGCTTGAAAAATTATAATGGAGCACAAAGTAAGTATTAACCCATTTTTCTCGTCATATTTTTTGCAATTCCGACATGCATAAAAGGTAATATCTTAAAAAGTCTTTGTGAGAAAATGTTGTGATTCATATTTTTTGAAAGAAATGAATTATCTCTTTATTTTAATAAATAAACAAGAGACCCAAGGGCCACATCGCTCACCTGAGAAGCTTTGACCATTCTGTTCTTTACCAGATTTCCCCCTTTTAATACATATTGAAACCTCACCCTACCCGACTGATCACAATTTAGACATTTTGCAATCTACACTACCCCAGGATGCTTCTATGTGCACAAAAGTTTAAGCTTTTATGGACCTGTGGTTCTTGAGAAGAAGATTTTCAAAGATTTTTCCTATATATTTCAATGTAAAACTTGGATTCTCGCATTGTGGCCCCGCCCTACACCCAGGGGTCATGATTTGAAAAATTAAGAATCTACACTATCCCAGGATGCTTCCACATAAGTTTCAGCTTTTATGGACAAGTGGTTCTTGAGAAGAAGATTTTCAAAAATTTTTCCTATATACTTCTATGTAAAACTTTGATTCCCCATTGTGGCCCAGACCTACCCCCGGGGGTCATGATTTGAACAATTCAGAATCTTCACTACCCCAGGATGCTACCACATAAGTTTCAGCTTTTATGGACCAGTGGTTCTTCAGAAGAAGATATTCAAAGATTTTTCCTATATATTTCTATGTAAAACTTTGATTCCCCAGTGTGGCCCTGCCCTACCCCCGGGGGTTATGATTTGTATAATTTAGAATCTACACTATCCCAGAATGCTTCCACATAAGTTTCAGCTTTTGTGGACCAGTGGTTCTTGAGAAGAAGATTTTCAAAGATTTTTCCAATATATTTCTATGTAAAATTTTTGATTCCCCATTGTGGCCCAGCCCTACCCCCGGGGGTCATGATTTGTATAATTTAGAATCTACACTATCCCAGGATGCTTCCACATAAGTTTCAGCTTTTATGGTCCAGTGGTTCTTGAGAAGAAGATTTTCAAAGATTTTTCCTATAAATTTCTATGTAAAACTTTGATTCTCCATTGTGGCCCCGTCCTATCCCTGGGGGTCATAATTTTAACAATTTAGAATCTTCACTACCCCAGGATGCTTCCACAAAAGTTTTAGCTTTCCTGGTCCAGTAGTACTTGAGAAGAAGATTTTTAAAGATTTGTTCTATATATTTCTATGTAAAATCTTTGATTCCCCATTGTGGTC